CTGTATAAAAGACACCTGTCCACACACTCAATCTATCAGACTCCAACTTCTCCTCTATGGGCAAGACCAAAGAGCTGTCTAAGGACACTAGGGACAAAATTGTAGACCAGCACAAGGCTGGGATGGGCTACAGGACAATAGGCAAACAGCTTGGTGAGAAGGCAACAACTGTTGGCGCAATTATTAGAAAATGGAAGAAATTCAAGATGACTGTCAATCTCCCTCGGACTGGGGCTCCATTCAAGATCTCATCTCGTGGAGTATCAATGATCGTGAGAAAGGTGAGAGATCAGCCTAGAACTACACGGGAGGATCTGGTCAATGACCTGAAGAGAGCTGGGACCACAGTCTCAACGGTTACCATTAGTAACACACTACACCGTCATGGCTTAAAATCCTGCAGCGCACGCAAAGTCCCTCTGCTCAAGCCAGCACATGTCCAGGCCCGTCTGAAGTTTGCCAAAGACCATCTGGATGATCCAGAGGAGGCATGGGAGAAGGTCATGTGGTCAGATGAGACCAAAATAGAACTTTTTGGTATAAACTCCACTCGCCGTGTTTGGGCGAGGGGGTGCCGGGGCCTCGCCTGGGGAGTAATTCAATGTAGAACCGCCACTGGGTCGAAGGTTAAACATGTTTCACATTTTGGCTCAGCTGACCTGATGTGCACTGTGCCTGTGTCTACACTGTTTTATCTACCATTATTAACAATTACAAAGTTACAGGAAATTACAGGCTTGATGACTTTTGTTCAGTGTTCATTATTAGCATTGCATAAAGGAACAGCCTTTAATATTAATGAGAAAACAGCAAAGCAACAGTTGATGTCCTTCCTCTGTTGCAGTTGTTGAGCTGCTGATCGTGGCCCACGACTGTTTCAGTCTCACCTGTAACATGGAGGGGATCATCAGGGTGCTGCACACGGCCCGTCACCTCAGCCACAGCTACCTGGCCCCAGGAGAGCACTACGGCCTGCTGGTGAGCCCCACCCCCCACTACAAACCATGAAGGCTGTTGTCTGTCTCCTCCCTCTGCAAAGCGTGTAAATTGATGTTTCAGCTGAACGATGCTGCTTTATGACCTTCCTGTCACATTGTGGGTAACACCAGATACTGAAAAAAACAATGTTCATGCGCAGGTGCGTCTGCTGACAGGTATTGGCAGGTACAATGAGATGACGTATGTCTTCGACCTGCTACATGAGAACCATTGTTTTGAGATGCTGCTGAGGAAGAAGGTGGATACGGATGGGAGACAGGTATACACACACACACACACAGTGATCACAGGCTAATGCCTGATTGTTAGAGGAAATGGAGATTACTCACACACTGTTTTGGAGAGTCAGTCCAGTGAAACCACTGGGCGGATATTCCTGCACCTGGTCTACATATACAGTAGGAGGGGATGCACTGCAATTCCAGATTAATCTCAGATTTGTCCTGTGGCAACCTCATGATGGTCGCCTTCTAACCCATGTTAAATCTTTCTGCAGGTAGCCTGGTCAAATGAACTTATCTAAGTTCAGTTTTTCTGTAAATTTCCACAGCATATTTAATAGTAGCAGAGAAAACTACTATCTAAACTACTATTGAAAGTGTTATTACAGTTGAATAAGGTAGAAGTTGTTTGTAAATGAGTTCATGTTGCATGTCCTTTGTGCCATTGCTTTGTTGTGATTGTATTTTTCATTTTGTTTTTACTCGATACTGTGTCACATGAACATTATTATTAATCTGGATCCCCATTAGCTTCCACATCAGTGTTTGCTAGTCTTCCTGGGGTCCACTTAAAAAGTTGCTATTAAAATTGCAAATATAATAATTAGGGCCCTGCGATGGACTGGCGACCTGTCCAGGGTGTACCCCGCCTTCGCCCGATTGCTGGCTGGGATTGGCTCCAGCCCCCTCCACGACCCCGTTTGGGACTGAGCGGTAGAGAAGATGAATGAATATAATAATTAGAATTAAATTCAGTAACATTAAACATAATAAAATCAGTCAGAACAGTCAATATAATTATTCTCAACAGAAGCCAAGATAAGATGCGAGTTTATATATTTCTTAAATGTAGAAATACTAGTTGTTTTAATTTCCTGAGGAGGTTTATTCCCTTCGAATGATGCTCTAAAAATAACTGTGTACTTAAAAAAAAAAAAAAAATCTTCCTAAATTGAGGAATTCTTAAATGTCCATTGCTCACAGATCTAGTTGAGTAATAATGAATTTGATCCTGATATTGCATTGTTCTGAGAAGAACTCAGGTCGATGAGTTCAAGCATAAAAGTGGACTGTAACGAAGTCTGACTTCAGCAGGGAGCCATGACAGTCTGCGGATCAGTAGCTCTCCTATAATATGAACATCTTAACACCAATTTTGCTACCTTATTCGGAATCACTGGCAGTCTACTGAGATCTTTCTTGTTTGCAGCAGACCATATAACTGAGCTGTACTCCAATTGAGATATTGCATTTACAACATTTTTCATTATCGGTGGACTTAGACATTCCCCAGCAGCTGCTAAACCTCTAGCCTGTGTAGCACAGCTGCAGAGTGAACAGAAGTACTAGATTCATCCACCAGCAGACTGTAGCTGCTCATACACCGGCGAGTTAAAAATGGTGCACAATAAAAGCCAACCAGCAGCTCAACATGTATCATGTTAGCATTATAGTAACTTTGTGAGATTTCCAGCTTGTAACTTAAAGCAGCACTGCCACAGTAACCTGATCCATGTCCCTCGCCCCTGTTGCAGAGCTCCAGTCTGAAGACAGCTCTGCTGGATTACATAAAGCGCTGCCTCCCTGCAGACAGTGAGAAACACAACATGGTGGCACTGTGCTTCACTATGAGGAGGGAGATTGGAGAAAATCACGAGATGGCTGCCAGGACTCAGCTGAAGATCATCGAGTCTCAGGCCTGGGGTGAGCGAGAAGCCCAACTGCTAGCCAGCACTAGGATTTACCAGAAACCAGCAGCAGAACAGTGTGCCGGATGCTTTTCACTTGACTAAAAGTAGGAATACCAGTGTAGAAATGCTCCACTACAATAGGTCTGGACCCAAATAGTCGATTGTTGGGATATTCATTCATTGGGCAGGTAATCGGTTTTCAGCTGTTGTTGTAGTTGAATATTCGAGACAGCAGGAAATTTCAGTGCAGTTTGAGTCCAGTGATGAAGAGGAAAGTGAAAACAATGGAGACAGCTTGGTCCGATAGGTGGTGCTTACTGGGGATGAGAGGCATCACGACGGGGAGCCGGTGTCCTGCTGTTAATCTGATGTTTTATTCATCTCGTTCTGAAAAAGAAGTTCACTGGTGGAAGAAGTACTCAAATTGTTACTCAAGTAAACATATAAAAGTATTGGCATAAAATATACTTAAAGTACCAAAAGTAAAAGTACTCATTAAGCAGAATGGCATAGTTAATGTATATATTATTATTGGACTATAAGTACAGATGAAGTATTGTGTCCATCATATTTAACGTTACAGCTGGTAAAGGTGGAGCTGATGGTAACTACCTTATATACTTAAACTATGAAGTACTTTACATCCTGCTGGGTAGCTGGTGGATTTTCCACTGGGATCAATAGAGTCTGATGGTTCTACTGGGTTTGGTTTGATTAGTCTCACTCTGAAAAGTAACTACTAACTAAAGTTATCAAATACATGTAGTGCAGTAAAAAGTAGGTCTGTCTCTGACATGGAGTAAAGTCACAGTATGAAGTAGCAGGATGTGGAAATACTCAAAGCACAGGAACCTTAGGATTGTATGAAAGTCCAGTACTGGAGTAAATGGGCTTGGTTCTGCTCCACCACTGCCAGAAACTCTGGTCCGGAGTCGGCCACACTGTCATGTTTGACTCTGCCTGTCTCTACACAGTCGTCACTCCTGACCTGAAGAGTTCGCTGGTCAAGGTGTTGGGTCTGCTGAAGGACGCAGCAGAGAGTTTCTCCAAGGTACTTGGACTCCTGTACACACTCTTCTAATACTGCACACTTACAGTACTGTGATGGCTTGTTATCTGTGTGCTTGTTTCCAGGACTCGTGTGTGCGTCAGGCGAGTCGCTGTGTCCGGACGGCAAAGCTGGTCGCTCTTCAGCTGCACTTCCTGAACCAGGGATCGGACCTGCGCGTCATCAACCTGCGACCTGCAGAGCTGCCAAAAACCGTGGCAGAGTTGCCACGTTGCTACCAGGTCAGTTTAGCCTGCATACCCTGTATTCCTTTGAAACCTCTTCAGCCTCTGACCTGTGCTGCTACAGCAACAGACTGTGTGCATCTGATAACCTGTTGACACTCAGCCACCGCTGGGGAAGTCCTAACAGCTACAAACTGCTGGTTTCACATGTTCTGTAGTTTTCACAGGAAGCCTCTTCCTCCTCGATGTTTGCTTGTTCTGCAGCAGTGTTCTACTACACGCAGCAAACCAGTGTTTCTGCAACAGACTAGGTTGGAAATTAAACTGGGAAAAGTGAGCGTGAACAGCTGGGCGTTTGCAGAGATATGTGTTGTGTGAGCTTCAGACACAGTTTCTTTCTGTCTGTCAGGTGTTGGTGGTGTCAGAGGCGTACGGCTACAGTGCAGACTGGGCAGAGATCCTGTACCAGAAGGTGATCCTGAAGGGAGACTTTGTTTATCTGGAGGAGCTCAAACGCCACCGTCCGCTGACCTCCAGCCTGTTCGAGGACATTTTCAAGAAGTAAGATGAGACAGTGTTCAAGAGTTATGACACGAGTTTCAGTTTGTAAATGAGAGTTTGGTCTCACTGCACATGTGTGTGTTGCTGTTTCAGGCTGGACAGTGCTCCCAGCAGCGTCACTGTGAACGTCAGGCGCCTACTGACACACTGTGCAGCCGCTACAGGCTGGCCTACCAGCAGAACCTGCACGACGTCACCAAAATGATGCTGCAGGACGCAAAGACCTCAAGCTACCTGAACGACAGGCTGACCGGCTGATTCACTGACCCGCTGGCTGAGTGATGAGTTGACAGCAGGCTTCTTTAACCAACTGACTAGTTGATCTTCAGCCGGTTACAGGAAACAGAACTGAGGTTGTCAAGTTCTGTTGAACAAGACTTGTGTATAAGAAATTAGAAACATTGCCTTTTCTTACTAATCCTTCTTGGAGGTGAATTAAAATTAAGCAGACTCATTTTCTTCTTGCAGTCAATAGGTTCCTATGAAGAACTAGGGTCATTCTCCAGCAGGTGTCACCGAGTTTCTGGCTCCTACGCTACTGAAAAGCTTCATGTATATGTGATGTAATGACACTGTGAAATTTTACATTAAAGACACTTTCTGAGCTGTTCTGCATGACTGTCTAAGACTTTAGCTTCTGCATTCATCAGACAGTACAGACTTTAATACAACTTTACTTTTTGGCATCATTGCAAGTTCTATCAAGCTACAGTGGGTTGGTTAGGTTAATCTTTCCTCAACATCATTTGCCACCACCACTGGTTGACGTTACAGACCTGTATGCCATGGAGGAACCAAATCAAGCTGGCTATCAAAACGTGTATGTAATCAGAGTTGAAATCATTTGTGATGTGGGGGACTGATTCTGAATTAGCAGGACGGTGTGTGTGGGAGACAGAATCAGCTCCAGTGTGTGTGTTCATGGTGATGAAGAAACCGGTTGGCCACTACTACTAGGTTGAATGGTTTCTGGGCACAGTGGAGCTCTATGGCTCAGGGAGGAGAGACAGCAGCTGTGATACTGAGGTTAAGTATGGTTTTCTGAGAACTTGGGGTGTGAGGGACTTTGGAGAAGTTTGTTCTCTGATTTAAAGCTTTGTAGCTTTTTTTTTTTTTTTAAGTTCACTGTATTCACATTTCACAAGCATTAGTCCAACAGAGAATGGAGAACTGATTCAGCCTCCGTCAGGGCAGTAAACTGTGGAGCAGGCTCCGTCCACACAGGAGTGTAACAATCCCAGCTTATATGGGCACGGCCGGCCTAGTTCTAAAAAGGTAGACTGGGCAGGCCAAGAGCAAACAGGACCTTAACTGCTCCCTGCTTTCCACCATGCCAAATGCATTTAGTAGTGAGCTTTTCAATCTGATTCAGCCCCTTTTCTAGGAATCCAAAATGCCACCATTTGTATGGGATATAGAAGCTGTGGAAGGACACGTTTGTTTTTAAATGTAATGTTTTCATCCCATTCAGCTCCAGTTGATTGAACTTCCTCCGTGTCGTCAAACCTTGGCACTGACAGCCAAACTCACAATGACACTACAGTAAGACCACTGTTGTGTTTTTCCACACTGTTCGAATACCAAAGCAGTGCAGTTAATCAGCCTGCAGGGAAGGCCAGCGGCTCTTTAATGAGTTCTGGGCCTCACACACATTAATTACAACAGATCGCTCTTTATTTGTTTAGTGGCACTTTATGGCTCAAAATTTTCATTTTAAACTGTATGTAAAGAGCTGAGGAATCTCAAATGAAAACAGCAGCCGTACAGTATGAAGTCTCTGAAATACTGACCAGGTGCAGCAACATGAGAGGAAAGGTCTCCTGACTCAAGTCCACCATCAACCAACCAAGTGTTTTCTGTATAATTAAGGAAACTGGAGACCGTGCACAAAAAATAGTGTTGGTTTCATCAGGTCTTTACAAACAACAAACTGCCACACTGAAGGTGGGTCAGGTTTCCACCACAGCTTTGCTGGAGTGCTCAGGGGATCTGGCAGGTTTCCACCACAGCTTTGCTGGAGTGTGTCACTGCTCAGGGATCTGGCTCTAACAGGCGCTATCTGATCTGCAGTTGTCATGAATTCACAACAGAAAGAGACTGTTCCTTTATTGGAGCTAATTTTCAAGAAAAACAGATGATTCAGTTCTTTGTTGCTTTTGTGGAAATCAGAGGCAAGAAAATGTTTCTCTGCTCACTAGCGTGTAAATTGCAGCTGCAGCTCTGGAACAGCTTCTGATGGCCTTTAAAGCGCATGTCATACCACACAGACGTGCTGCCCATGTGTTTTCCACAGAGGACACCTGCCCATCCATTATTCTAGCTGCACGAGCTTCTGTTCTTCAGCAGCTGGTTGAGGATGCTACTCTGTTTCAGTGATCTGAGGTTAGAGATGTCCTCTGCGATCACCGGGACGTCCTCGCTGCCCGTCGCCTCATCGCTTTCATCTCGGTCGCTGTCAGACAGTGTGCACAGGAGGGCATCGTTCTCGTACGTGGGGAAGTAATACCTGAGGAGAGAGGGACGTGAGAGGTTTGCTTTGGCTGCTCAGTTTCACTCACTTCACTTACAGGCTTTTAGCAGCTGGGGCACACAGACGTGCGGAAGCTAATACTGCACAAGTCATTTATCCACTACCAAGCGTGTACCCAGGGTTGTACTCAATAGTACTGGTGTTTAGATTACAGTTTGGACTGTGTGTCAGAGAGCTGTTTCTGGTATTTAGCCCAGCCTCACTGATAAAAATGGGGTGGACAAAATACCAGAGCCATCTCCAAGTATAACCCAGTCCAGGTGACCAACAGCACAGCCTGCAGCCTCCACAGTGACCACACGGGTGAGCCAACACCTCTGTGACACAGTTTGAACACAGACTGAAGGAGGACTTACTGCAGGACTGCTGGATCAGACAGACTTAGTCTGAGACACGTGTTCCTGATAAACTGACCGCTAGGTGTATTTGCATGTCCCCTTCACTCCCACTACAGATGGCTCAGACTGAATGGCTTCATTCTGGTCTGACAGACTTGGATTTCTTTCAGGCTGTTTTCTGCGAGATCTCTAAAACTTACTGTAACTGACTCTTTTGCAGAAGACGCTCTGATGATACTTCAGCTACAGTTCATCAAAACCCAAAATGTGTCTTGCTCCTGAAGGCTTTTACTGCAAACCACCAAATCATGCACACAAATGATTACTCCTTTGTCTCTCGACGCCTCCCAGGGATGTCTGCAATATGATTTTGATTTGATTTGATTTGATTTGATTTATTCTTTCAAGCATGTAAAGACAGTTGATATGTCAACACACATAATTTTACACATATCCAACAAATGCTAATCCAATATCAAGTTGCTTATACCAAGTACATGCTAGAATGGAGTAGGAAGAAGTCAGACTTATCCAGTCCTACCCCATGACATCATCTTACCATCACTGGTTTGCAAGCAGTATCTCTACATAAATAATTCTCTTCTACACCACACAAGTAATATACTAAAAAAATTATAACAGAGTGTTAACATTCTTACATAATTACATTCTTAAATGTGCTTTGGACAGAAATATACAGTACTATGGTTGCAAGCGAGAGCAGACGTCTTTACTGCTCTTGTCTGTTCTACGATTTTTCACATCTTCTACATTTTCAAGTCTTTGAACAAATTCTACACCTATTAAAATGCCTCCAAGAGGGAAAAGAGCTAATAAATCAGAAGTGAATGAGGATGTTGAAGCAGAAGAGGATTATATTTCAGCGGCGCAAGTAACAGAGATGTTGAGTCAGCAGAAGCA